GTGTTTTCTCTGGAACTGCCCACTGGAACAAGCAAAGTAGCAAAGCTCTGATTTTGTAAATAGCATGGAACTAAATTGACCTCAGCAGTTATACTCTGAATCTCAGAGACAATTCTGTAGGAATATTAATACACCAGATTAGATGATCAGTTTGTGAAAATACTACTTAGTCATGTACAGTATAATCCTAGAAAGGACTGTGTTTTCCAATCATATTCCAGTAATTTACCTTAGGATATGGTTAGTTTCAAGATGCAGTATAATATTTTTTTCCTAACAAAACACATAGACCACACAAAGTAGACTGCACAGAATTCAGGATTTTTGGAATATGGCTATTGTTCAGCTATCTGGCTGTAAAATCTGTCTGCTTCCCACTTGTTTTCAGCCCCAGGTTCTGATTACATTCAGTGGTATCAAATCAAAGTAAAGTGGCATGCCTCCAGCAAACAAAGCAGCACAGATTTTTTTCATGCACAGTTGGTTTAAGTATCTGTACTATCTATGAGGGAAGGTCAGGGAGAGGTAGTCCTTTGATTAAGTCAAAGACTGATAAAGTCTTGCCAGAGGAAAAGGCTTTGGTCAGCTCTTCCATCCCATACAGCATCTACAGTTTTTTAACTCTCTTCTTCAGTGCCCTTGTTTAATATCTGTAACACATGATGTCATAGAGAAGACATTACTTTAATAAGTTCTGGAATATATCACTATACTGTCTCATTTCATGTATAACATCCTATGGTTTTAGATAACAGTTAATGAGAACACTAAATTCAAACTTAAGTTGAGACAATTTGCTGGCATACATGAAGAAATAGTCACCAAATCTGAACTAGAATCTTCCAGGCTGAAATGCAATAAAGCTTAAGTGTCATAGATGACTCGCTCTCACCTCTTTCTCTTCCAAAGAAAATGAAATTTCCACATTGATCATGAAGCCTATACACTAATTGTAAGCAATCAATTTCTAAATAGGTTGACCTTGCCTGGCAGATACCTGAAACATCTAACAGCTTAGAGTTCCTAAACTGTTCTGTTAATTCCTACGCAGTTTTAAGCATTGACTGATGTTTTTCAGAATGGAAACTCAGAATCCACTGTGGTTTTCCTCCTCTTGTTCCAAGAGAAGCAAAAACTGTCTACTGTAGGCTAGGCCCATTTGTAATCACTAGGAATGTACCCTCATTAGCAGAAAGTAATTTCCTAAAGAACGTGTTTATTTTTTTCCCCACCCACTATTCATATACACACTTCCACTTTCAAAGGATGATGAAATATTTTTTCATTGCAGAGATATTTTTTGCATTGTTCCTTAAGAGTTTACATACCTGTTTTTTTCACCACAATGTCTACAAATTTGGTCAGTCTTAAATCCCCTACTGAAGAACATTTCAGCAGGCGTTAGCTCTGGTTATGCTCTTCCATTAAGCAGTGCACAAAAGTGATCTGTTTTTGTTTGTTTTTTTTAAGCAAAGACGCTCGAGGAAGAGGAAAAACTAAATCTGAACATAGATCTTCATCTTCCTGAAGAAACTTCAGCTGACCTTTATGGGGTGGATTCACAGTATTCAAAGAAAAGTGTCCAGAATTACAGTGTTCTGTAGAATTGCATTCATTCAGTCTATTATCTGTCATTCCTACATCTGACACACCGTATTTAGTGAATGCAGATGACATGGGAGAAGTGTTTTCAAATAACATCATTTCTGGACATCAGGAATAGTAATTATCAAGTAAATTATTTTTCTGCATAAACAGATAAAACAGTTTTGAATTGTAACAAAGATTCTGTAATAACCATCACATGTTTACAAATGTTGTGGTATGCATTTTGAATTTGTACCATCTTTATTATTTCTGTATCGCCTCAAATCTTAGGCAAACAACGCAATTTTGTCTTCTATATTTTTTCACATGTGAATGCCCTCAAAGTATCAAGTTTAGTAATCTTCACTTGATATTTTAGATACTTGAGATTTTAGCATTTTTGAATAAAAATGCTATTAAATAAGAAATCCTATTTCCAAGTTGCTAGAAAGACTAGGTATGCAGCAAACCAACCGGCTAAAGTTAAATCTCATTAAAAGGCATCTGCACTAACAGATTCTAAGTTGCCTGAAGTGCATTAAGCATCTTCCACTGTAATATCATACTGTGGTGTTTTCTCTGCCTCAGTTTTATGGGAAGCTCCAGCCTGGGCTCTCTTCCAGACTTGCATGTGCATTGTAAGGGATGCAACTGCAAGAATAACATCTGCAACTTATGTTTGCTAACACTTATTTTGCAATTGTCACTAATGGTTTACTGCCCATTTTTGCTATCAATTGCTACCAAGTTACATGGAAACTTTTTTTTCTCTATACAAACACCATATTTTCTAATGCTTGGCCTTTAGCTAAGGTTGTGTTGTCATCTACTAGAGGTTCCAAATGAATGTCAGGCCTCTGCAAAAGCATTGCCTTGAGGATTTGCTTTAAAGGTTTTGCATATGTTTATGATGGTCAAAAAAATTTAAGCTTTTTATTATCAATTGTGTAGAGATTTTTCTACATCATTTCCTGGCATGCCATGCCCATTGCATATTTTTACTCACTAAAGCATTCAGGTTAGTATCGCTAGTATCGCTAGTATCTCCTAAGAAAATGTATCATCCCCATAAAGCTCTGTATACTTTGTTTTTTGTGTAGCTAGGAGGAGTTTGACAACTGAATTATAAAGGAAGGCAGTTCCATCCTGATTTCTTAAACTCATTTAATTGGACTTTTTTTTTTTTTGCTTCTCACTTTACTCTCTACTGAGACAACTATGAATTTTTAGAATTTTTTTCCTCCCTTTTTCCACAACAATACCATCTGTGTAATTCAATACTCTAAAATATCTACTTTATCTGTATGTGAAATAATACAGCACAACATAGCATAATCTAAACATTATTCACTGTAAAAACAACAATAGCTTCCAAATGGTGTATTTAAGTGTGCATTTCTGGCAAAATACTCTAGAACCCAGAAAATGCATATTATGAAGGGAAACTATATTGCAGCCAAAAGTAGTCTTTCTTTGTATATATGGGAATGTATTATTTAAACATTTTACTTCTTAGAATGTAGACAGAGTTCTATATTGCTTTTCCAAAATGTATGAAGTACTAATATATATCACAGCCTCTTCAAATGTCTTCATTTTATCCAGCACATTGGAGCAACACAGAGATATTCATGGTTGCAGGTATAACAGGGCAATGGGGATCTAACACTGTATTTTAACAACATTTCAATACCATCATTTTCATTAGAAACATGACTGTCTATCATCTTGGGTTTTCTGCTGCTCTCCAGTGTATTCTTTTACAAAGAAGTCTAGTTTCTGACCTAAAATTACTATTCTCATTTCTGGCAATTATTGTATATGTTAGTTTTTCAATATGCTTTATCTTGCCTTTGTAGCTTACTGACCCCACTGCCTGCATTTAACATCACAAAGCTTTCTTCACAAATCCTTCCAACAGCTTCAGATACCACATTATCTTGGGCAAAAATCTATGAGTAATTGGGAATCTGAATTCAAAAGTCAAACTTCTTCATAGCTACCAAGGATATTTTCTTTCTGCTGAGACCTTTCTTTTCCGTGTAAATGCCAAATTAACAAAAGCATCTGAGGGTGGGTACATGAGGGTCAGGAGGGTGTGTGTTAAGAGTGACATCAACTGAGACAATAAAAGGGCTTCTAAGTTACTTAGAAGCTCTATTTTAAAGTCAGATTTAAGGGGTCCACTAAACCAATTCAGTAGTCTTTAAATATACTTGACATCAAGACACAGCCATCTGCCAACATACCCAAACCAGAAAACTGCTTAGGATAGTATTTCGTGAGTATACCTCTATTTTATTTCCAAGTTCTCTAGAAGACTTATCTAGAAGATTTTATCATTGCTTTATAACTTGCTTTTATTTTATTTTTAAGGTAGCCTGAAAAAAAAAGGGAATGTAAGTAAGATCAAACTGTTTTATCTAAACCAAATGTTTGAAATGAATACATCTGAGACAGTGAGCTAGAATATCTTGAAGTGAATCCAATTCCTGAATACGTAATATTGAGTTAGATGGACTGCTAGGGCCATTCATATTAACATGTAAGATGACATATAGTAAATGCCTTCCTGTGCTGAAGTAAAACTGCAGAAAATATTGCAGAAAAGGCACTCTGGAGTTTTATGTTTCCTTATGTTTTGTTTACTCTGTATAAAATTTCTTCAGTTGTAGCAGAAAAGATGCATGTCCTAGCAGTAAATACTGAAAATCTAAACGGGAAACAGAAATTTTGACTGTGTCTTATCTGTCAGTTGTAACATCATTGGTAATAAATTTTCTACACAGCAGTTTTGCTGATGACGTACAAAGCAGTGTGAAATTCATATTGGAAATGCACGATTAACACTGAAAATATAGGGGGCTCAGTTCTGATTTCTTTTGTGTGACTAAATGCAGAATGAAATAACTCAGTAGAGTTATGTCTCTGTGCAAAATTGTCCAGAAGAGAGTCAGCCCCCTCATTCTAAAGCAAATGCAACTCAGTTCTGCAAAAGAAATACATAAAAGAAATCAAATTTTCAGCTGCATAGCAATACATGAGTATTTCAGCATACTTAAAGCATACCAAATGCAAATGATAAATAACAGTACTACTGAAAGGATGTGGTTCTTTTCACCACTAGCCAAAATGTGAGTACATAGATGATAATAATGCAAAGCAATTAAAGCTGACAGAAGCTTTCAGACTTGCTTACAAAGTTACAGAAATTTTCTCCTAAGAAATAGCATTAGAACCATTTTCTTTCCTGCCATACTCCTTGCTGCAACCTATTTCATGAGAAGAATGTTTTTAAAGCCACTTCTGATGCCTTTCTTCAACTTTTTTCCTAATCTAAATTTCTTTGGAATCCAAAGAACTACTGGAAATACTGATCTGTACATTTATTCTCTTCTATCTCTGCAGACAAAATGAGTTCTACAAAAAGTCTGGCCAAGACTGTAATGATTTTATATGCCATATGTTTTTTTACAAACTCTGATGGAAGACCAATGATGTAAGTACATTATTATACACTTCCAAAGTTTGGGGAATTATGTGAACTATTCTCAAGAATGTGGTCTGTTTGAGTACCAGTTTAAGAGCACCTTAGTCTTTCCATCCCCACTTTTGAACCCCTTGCCCAGCCGGCCAAATTCTGATTTCTAGGTAGAGCAGTAGAGATCTCAGAAACATGCAGAGTTTTTAAACTCTTTTTGAAAATAGTAGATAAAGAAAAATCACGTATGTGTTTTCTTAGGAAGATCATTGGGTAATTAATCCACATCTATTAGCAGATGCTTGAGGGGGATCCAGTGGGTGAACATTTTTTTATTGCAACAGCCTACTTGGAACTCACCCTCAGACAATGACATCAATCAGCACTGAGACAAAAATCCATAGGAAATCACACTTCCTTAGCTCTAGTGTTTAAAGAAAACTGCCCCTGAATAAATACCATACTTAGTTCTCTTAACCAGTTAATTATTGTCTCGTAAGCCCTAAGCTCAGCTACACCAGGTAAAAGAAATGATAAATACATAAGCAAACACAATTATCACAAAACTGGACTACTTCCCATATTTAATGCCTTCTCACTCATATCTGTTACAATTAGCAAATCACCATCCACACTCCCTCTCTACTCCAGATGTTATTCTGCTCCTTACAAATGAGAAAGGTAAGTTGTACAGCTCTGTACTGCAATATCCTACAAAAGATCCCAAATCTGGATTTTGACTTAAGATGATGAATTCAATAGAGCCATTATGAGTCCTTTCCTTTCCTCTCATTCAGGAAGAGATCGGTGAGTGAGATGCAATTAATGCATAATCTTGGAGAGCATCGACACACTGTGGAGAGACAGGATTGGCTTCAGATGAAACTGCAGGATGTGCACAGTGCCCTTGAGGATGCCAGGACCCAGAGGCCTCAAAACAAGGATATTGTCCTGGGGGAGATAAGAAACCGGAGGCTGCTCCCTGAGCATTTGCAGGCAGCACTGCAGAAGAAAGCCATAGACCTGGACAAAGCTTACATGGATGTACTCTTTAAAACTAAACCATAACAAAAAGACCAAGAGCATTATATCTGTCCACGTAAGCACGTGTCTGTAGATCACTGATCAATTAAGGCATTTTATTTTTTAATTCAAACTATGATAAGGATTAAAGGCTCCATGCCAGACTGTAGTAGCCCCATTGATGATGGGTATTTCACAACTAAATAATAAAATGTATTTACAGGTCACCTATGGCCATTGCTGCTAACTCCTGGGTATCTTTTAAATGGTTAATGTAACTCATTAACTTCCAGGAGAATTAAAAACAAAATAAAAGGCAAGACCAGCCACAATAGAATAAGAAAGTTGAAAAACATTTAAGACCAGTTCCACCACTCCTATACAGAGAGCATTTGTCTGTAATCTTTGGGCCTACTTGTACTGTAAACCAACAACGTATAACTGCATTATGCCTAGGGTTAAACTTCAAGTTTGTCCTAATGCAAAAACACAAACTTTAATCCACTTTTATTTTCCCAAAAAGACCTAAAACCAGATGAATGTCAATTACATAGCAAAAGGTGCATGATAATTTAGGATTAAAGAGTGCAAACATGAAAAATAGAAGAAGGAACCCAAAGCTTAAGATTAAAGCATAATGAAATAAAATTTAAACAAATTGTGCATGAAAGAATGAAATTTTACAAAATACTGAAATGAAGGGAAGGTTCATTCACTTTTCCTCTTCCAAAAGATGACAACTCATGATTAACTGCAGAAACAGTGAGAGCAGAGATTGTAGCATGTATGTATGCACAGCCCTAACTATAGAACTGTGAAATGGTTCTACTCAAGATAACAACAATTGAAACAAATATCTTGTTTTTATCTCTCCTTTAGTCTATAACCTATGAATTTCTGTATATTGTGCCTAGGTTGCATAGGTTAAGTGGCTCACATAAATAAAATTATCCATCTTCACATGTGCACTTTTACAGAATTGGGATTTCAGTTTGCTAAAACCCTGAAATGACAACCATTAAAATGCAGAAATCAATACCTGGAAAAGGAACTAACAAATAAAATATAAGCAGGACTCAGAAAGAATTTGACAAGAACATGGATGGGAAAAAACAATGATGATAATATAAAAAGCAAGTGGCTAATAGAAAATTATTTTGAATTGTATAGACAATGTGCTTATGACCTCAACCACTTCTGCATAATAAGAATATTTTCTCTGTAGAAATGACAGCAGTTTCCTCCAAACATTCCACTGTGAGAACTCAAACCTCGAGCAGAATTCCAGTTCTAAGCCAACACATCTCTGTGGTCCCATACCACTTTTGGGTGTTTGATGTCCAGCACTTCTCAGGGAACATCATGAAAAACTCATACATAATTACAAATATAAATGCAATCTGCTGGAGGCTAGGAAGGTTACTTGTAACTAGTGAACTGCAGTATACAATCTAGGCTATACTTTTACTAATGTAAAGGCTCTGATGCTGCAAGCAGATGATATACCAGTGCACATTAGTGCATTGCACACACAGGCAAAGATTCCATGCTGCTTGCCTATTTGTAGAATCAAGGCCTTAAGGTGCACTTTCTATTTATTCTTGTATCAGACATCTGTGCTAACTGAAATAAAATTGTATTTTGTACCTATGTCTCACACATGTATTACAAAATAAAGTGGACCAAAAGCTCTTGGACATTATTTTAAAGCATAATAACTGAGTGATCTGTCACTAGTCTCATCTAATTTAGCATCTGGGGCTAGATTACTACAACTTTTTATTTTTAACATAGCAATGTAAATTCAAAAACAATGTAAGCACTTTTAATCTTTCCTTTCGTCTCTCATGCATGCAAAGTCACACAGATGGTTAAAAATAAAGGTGTTTACCTAGTACAAATCCATCTACATCCTCTCACAACAACACATGGAGGAACTATACAAACTTTCAGTGTCAAATTCACAAACTCTTTCCATTTAATCTAAGCAAAGAATTCTATTATCCATACAATTTGTTCTTTCTAGCCTTCAGCTGTTCAGCAGATGGAAAATGCTTACACAAATACTTAAAGTTACTGTTGGCTTCAAAAAAAATACTTACTGTTTACAGAGGGCTTCAGGGGGGGCAAATGAAGCACAACTGAATGTTATTTAGCTAGAAATGTGACCACAGATAACCCATGTCCAGCATTGCCTCATTTTTGGCTGAAAATCACACTTTGCCCTCACAGTATGTCTCTTTGGAAGGACTAAAGCCAGCCACTGGCAGGAAAATTGATGCTCTGTAATTCCCATTAGAAAAAAAAAAAAAAAAAAAAGATGTAGTTTGAATGAAATTACTACTACTTAAAGGAATTGCTTAGAAAACAGGTTTGTTACAGCTTTTCAGCATAAATCTCTGATCAAGTGTTGCAGCACTAGGAAGAAGAAATAATAGAGCTGCTGAAATATCTGTATAAGATGATGAACAATAACAAGAGGAGTAGAATGAAAATAAGAGACATGATAAAGACCTGAGGAAGAAAAAGCAGTAAAGGCAAACAAATGGTATTGACTACCTATCTTTCCACAAGAATGGAAACTGTCCTCTGCACCCAGTGTCACTGGAGGAGGCAATCTTGACTCTTCAGTGCATTTGAGCTCCCTTCCCACAGACACTGCTCTTTCAAGCTCTTCTCTCTGTCTTAAATTTACACCGCCAGGGTGCGGTACGAGCATCTAAGCAATGTAAATTCTAAGTGAGCTGCATTCCACAACAGAATCAGACATGCATGTGACCACCAATGAAGACTTCTTACGTCTCCTGTTACAGTGAGAAAAGGTTAGAAAAGTTCTAAAACCTTTCACATCTCCAGGAACAGCCTTCCAAAGAAGCTGTGTATTATCTCTAGACAGCCTCTTCCCCTCCCTGAAGTTGGTTTGGTTTTCTTAGCTGCTGTAAAAACTGCTGTTTTGTATTGCTTATCTTACTGTCAAATAGCATACACCATCTGACTCCTCGCCTAGCTGGCACATTCACGTGCTTTTGTGCAGCCTGCACTGTCTGTCATTGTTCTACTTGTGGATTTCTAGAACCGCGTGGTTCACCTCTGTGGCAATTGCAAAGTAAGGAAAAGAGAATTTGCACATTTTGCATTGCAACAAAGCTTGAAGTCTTTTATGGGGTATATTTCTATAATAAAGACACAAAAACCCTTGGGCAAGGGGCATTGGCTATTGAGTTCTAGTTTTTGGAATCCAACAGGTAATCTGACAGCTTCTTTCACTTGTTCAGTAATATCAACTGAAAAATAAATGACAACAATACATCTTTAAGCCTGACAACACCTGAACTCAGACTGTCGTACACATTACTGCAACACTCCCATCTGATTCATAATTACTACCTTGGTTAGTATTACCCTACTTACCACATAATAATTAAGATGTACAAGTGCATTAAGATGTACAAGGGCACACCTCAAGTACTGTGTCCATTTTTGGGCCCCTCACTGCAAGAAAGACATTGAGGCCCTGGAACAGGTTCAAAGAAGGGCAACAAAGCTGGTGAGAGGTCTGGAGCACAGGCCTGATGAGGAGCAGCTGAAGGAGCTGGGATTGTTCAGTCTGGAGAAGAAGAGACTCAGAGGAGACTTTATTGCTCTCTGTAACTACCTGAAGGGAGGTTGTAGTGAGCTGGGGGTCAGCCTCTCCTCTCATGTAACTGGTGACAGAACTAGAGGGAATGGCTTCAAGCTGCACCAGGGGAGATTTCGGCTGGACGTTAGGAAATACTACTTTGCTGAAAGAGTGGTTGGGCACTGGAATGGGTGCCCAGGGAGGTGGTGGAGTCACTGACCCTGGAGGTGTTGTGTTCAAGGAACATTTGGATTTTGTGTGGAGGGAGATGGTTTGTGAGTGCTATCGGTGATAGGCGAACAGTTGGACTGGATGATCTTGAGGGTCTTTTTCAACCTTGGTGTTTCTGTGAAATGTCTGTTGATAAAAGTCTCTGTTGCTTATCTTTCTTTGCATTCAGATATCTTTTTTCCTCTTCCCTTGTCTGTTAAGTTCTATCCTATCACCTTTCATAAGTAACAATCAGACAGTAATGGTTTTAGTTTCCAACTCCACTACCCAAAACCCAGTGTATCAATTAGAAAGGTCAATGTGATAGGAAAGGAGTTATGACAGAGGTGTGATGATGAAAGGACTAGCACAAAAGGAAGGTGCTATAATGGAAAAAGATTACCTACATCAGAAGATTTGAGGTTTACAGGGGAAAACTTCACCAAGGAGGAATCTCTAATAAGAGATCCTTCCCCAGTGGCAGTCAGCCCTTAAATGGGGTCTAAGAGAGGTGCAGCCAGACTCCACCCTTTCCAGTAGCACAGATGAATTGCCTTCACTGGTGCTCCCAAAGCTGTTCCTCAGATGCTCAATCAGTGGTTCAGGCTGTGACTCAACAGTTCCCATACAGCCAACCACTGCAATTTAAGCACTTAAACAGAAATATAACCCATCATATTACTGTTCATCGATTGATGCTTTAAGGCAGGGTCCTGCTCAAGGTGAACAGACTTGTCAGAAGGACGTGGACACAAGTTCCCCCTTGCCTGTATGATTTCCCTGAGAGGTGTGGTGCAACACTCGCTCAGAATGGCATTCCACAATACTCTGCCCACTGCCACGCACAGGAGCAGATTTTGACAGTGGGGCTGTTCCCCAGAGTAACCATTTTGCAATTAACCTGGCTTCCCACCGTGCAAAAAGGGGAACAGACAGATGTTCAAAAGGTAGGATTCTGCACCTGAAATGAAAGTCAATCTCTACCTTGTATTTAATTATGTTGATAGATAACAACTTAAAAATTAGGCAAATATCACTGATAGCCATAGATTCAGCTAGGGCTCGGGATCAGCCGATTCTCCCTGCGCGGAGCTCGTTGTCATCTCCACAGCTGAGACACCTCAGCACACTGCAGACGCCTGTAACGCGAGGCACGGCAGTTCTGCAGCGGAACTGTGGAACACAACGCTTAGCGGCGTTCCCTCAGCACAGCTCCGCGCGGGAAAGCTCGCAGCACCGCCGCGCCGCAGTCGGTTACCTTCAGGCGGGAGTTGGGAGCGGCTCTTCAGCCCCGGCGGGCGGCGCTCGCTCTCCAGTGCCGCCTCTCAGCCGGCAGCCCGGGAGGAGGCTCCGCCCGTTCCGCCGCACACCCTCCACGGCCGGACCCAGATCAGGACTGCGGCCGAGATCTGGATCGGAATTCGGACGGGGATCGGGATTCGGACGGGGGCCGTGCGACGCGACCCCGGGGCAGCGGCAGCCCTCATGCGGCCCCGGCCGGCGACACCATAGCAACGGCCGGCTCGCGCCGCAGCCCGCCCCTAGCAACGGCGTCGCCGCGCGCCTCGCCCCGCCCTCTCCTTTTCAAGTCTCGTGAGATCCGAGCGCCCTCGTCTCTTCCTCTGCGCGTTGCTGCGGCTCTCGCGAGTGGTTGCCGGAGCCGAGCTGAGCGGCCGGCGGCAGTGGCGCCGTGCGGAGGCCGAGTCGCAGCGCCGTACGGGTGAGTGGCGACAGGACCGCGCGACAGCCGGCCCCGGGAGAGGGCTGCGTGCGGGGCTGTCGGCTCTCTCCTTGCGGTAGGAGGGCGCGGGCGGTGGCGGCGCGCGTCGCCGTGCCCGCGGCCGGGCTGGGACCGGAGCGGTACGTGGGTCCGTAGGGACGCTGGGAGCGCGGCAGCTCCGTCAGGGCGGAGCGCGGGAACGGTTCTGCTCCGCGCCCCGCTTCGCTCGTGTTACCGGTAAAACCCGCAGCTGCTGTGAGGGCTGCGCCCATACGGAGCGCCGCATGGGGCTGCCGGGCAGCTGTCTTTACCTCTGAGCAAAGCCCTCCCCGTTCGAACGGGTTTGTGAGGTAAATACCTTTTGGGAACTTTCTTCCCCGTGTAACCGTGTTTTGTTTACGGAAAGATTTCTCGTTTGCGATCGAGCCGTCATTGCACAGCAGTGTGTCACAGTTACCCATCGCTGCATGTTTTTCCCTTGCAGTCGCTTTTGTTCCTCACTCTTGCTTCTACATCGCGTTCTTTTCTCTCTCTGATCTCATCGCACATGTCACTCCAGAGCTTTTATCTTTCAGAATCTGAATCCGGCTCCATCTCAGGCCTTTCCCTCTAGCTGCCTGCCTGCAGCCTGCAGCCATGGATGAGCGTTGCTCTTGGTTGGTGTCCCTACCTGTTGGCTGGCTTTCAGATGTCCAACGA